TTTGTGGATGCTCCAGTGTGGTTTGCTACTTCTTTCCCTATCAAGCACATTGCCATCCTTATATAGATCTGTCCTCCTTTTTTTTCGTGTATGGATGTTACTCTCTATAAGTAACACCTTTAATCTTCAGCACTTGTAGGACTCATTTGTGTTGCAAGTGCCTTAAAACTCTTACAGAAACTAAATACATATGTTATATCATCTATTTTTTCCTCCTCAGACTGTGCCTCCACCTCAACCAGAACCAAGTTCAAAGAAAGAGGTGAGATTTCTGTACACGATATTTCTATTTTTGGCTCGTTCCTTTCAGAGATTGACGTGGTAAATTGGTGGGTGCTCTGGTGGGTTTTGCTACTTCTTTCCTGTCAAACGTCTATCGTCTTGATCTCTCCTCCCAAAACCTTTGTAATGATAAAAGCATGTTCATGCGCTAGTTGGTCTATTCTCAAAGAATCAAATGTAGCTAATGTCATCAAATATTGATGTTGGCTGCAGTTATGTTCCGTTCCAGAGCCTACATCGCAATAATTTGAACATCCCTGCAAGCAACCTAATTATCTAGTGAACAATTACCAATATTGATCTTGCAAGGAACCTATTTAACTAATGAAGAACAGCCAATTGTGATCTTGCAAGAAACCTGTTTTTTAAAAACAAATACCACTATTGATTCTCCACCAATTTTATAGGACGGTGTGTCATATTTTCTTTCTTTCTTTCTTTCTTTCCGTCTTTCTTTGTTTTTGTGTAGTTGCTGTTAGTGGGTGGTTGGCGGGTGCTCTGGTGTGGTTTGCTTCTTCTTTCCTATCAAAAATCTATCGTCCTTATCTCCCCTTCTTCTTTTTTATGTTTGTTATTCTCTTGTAACACCTCTAATCTTCTGGCGCTCATATGACCTTATGCAGTTGCGAGTGCCGTAAAACCCTCTACTAAAACTAAACTTTAAAAAGTTGCTGTTATTGTAGACATTAAAAACCTCCATCAGTACAGTGTTGAATATTGTGAGGTCTTCTTTTCTTTCCGTCTGACGTTTCAGTTTATCTTTCTCAGTTTCTCAGCTTTTCCATTCTATTATTATACTATGAGAACCTATAGGTTGTGAGTTGACGGGCTTGTCTTTACTGGATTATCACTACTGCATCTGCGTAAAAGAAGAGAAGAGAGGAGAATAGAAAAAAATAAAAGAGTCAATATAAAAAAGAGAAGGAAAAAGACTTAAAAAAAAGAAAGACTAGAAAAGAAGAGACGGGGTGAGAAGAGAAGGGAAGAAAGAGGAGAGGAGTGGAGAGGAGAGAAGAGAAGAGTAGGCCTAGTGAAGTGAAGAGAAGAAAGAGGAGAGGAGAGGAGAGAAGAAAAGAGTAGGCCTAGTAAAGTGAAGAGAAGAAAGAGGAGAAGAGAGGAGAGAAGAAAAGAGTAGGCCTAGTAAAGTGAAGAGAAGAAAGAGGAGAGGAGAGGAGAGAAGAAAAGAGTAGGCCTAGTGAAGTGAAGAGAAGAAAGAGGAGAGGAGAGGAGAGAAGAAAAGAGTAGGCCTAGTGAAGTGAAGAGAAGAAAGAGGAGAGGAGAGGAGAGAAGAAAAGAGTAGGCCTAGTGAACTGAAGAGAAGAAAGAGGAGAGGAGAGGAGAGAAGAGTAGGCCTAGTGAAGGGAAGAGAAGAGAAGGGAAGGGAAGAGAAAAGAGAAGAGAAAAGAAGAGAAAAAGGAAAAAAGAGAAAAAGGAAAAAAGAGAAAAAGGAAAAAAGGGAAGAGTAGTGAATAAAAAAAGAGGAAAAGAGAAGAGAGAAAAGAAGAGAAAAGGACAGACGAGAAAAGAAGGGAAGAGAAAAGAAAAGAAGATAAGTGAAGGGCAGATAAATTCAATCTTTATTGTTTCTCCCTCCCCCCCTCTCCCCCCTCCCCCCTTCTCCTCTCCCCCCTCTCCCCCTTCCCCCCTTCTCCTCTCCCCCCTCTCCCCCATCCCCTGCCCCCTCCCCTCTCCCCCTCCTCCCTCCCCTCCCCCCTCTCCCCTTCCCCCCCCCACACACACACGCACACACCCACTATCCCGGCAGCTAAGCGAGGACGAGGTAAAGAAGCGACTGGAGCGCTACATGGAGATAGAGAAGCAGGTGATGGAGTGGGAAGCAAAGAACCTGCCCAAGTCACTACAGGCCAAGAAGGAGCGCCTGGAGGAGGTGAAGAAGACACAGGCAGAGCTGGAGAATCACTACCAGGCCGCATGCTCCAAAGTGTGAGTACTGCTCGGTGACCCCATAACCTTCAGATGGCAGACATTTTTTCGGGGGTCGAGTTTGTTGTAGTATTTAAAAATTTCAGCTTTTTTTTCCTGTTCTAGAGTGTGAGTACTTGGCGACCCCATGACCTCTGCCCTACACAAAGATCAGAAACTTTGATACTAAATATTTCAGCTTTTTTTTATCTGCTCCAAAGTGTGAGTACTACTACTCAGTGACCCCACGACCTTCAGAGGTCAGACATGTTGTGTTATCACTTATCACGTTCAAGTTTGTTGTAAATATTCCAGCCTTATTTTTTGTTTACTAGTTCTAAAGTGTGAGTACTTGGTGACCCTACGACCTTTGATCAGAGGTCAGACATTATTTTTTTATCAAGTTTCTTGTAGGCCTAAATATTTCAGCTTTTTTAAACCAGTTCTAAAGTGTGAGTACTTGATGACCCAATTAATGACCTTTGCCCTACAAATAGGTCAGACATTTTTTATGGTCTAGTTTGTTGTAAATATTTCTCCTTTTTTCTATTCATTATTAACCTTACAGCTTTCCGTTTCAATCTTCATAGTTATGTCTAACCATCTTATGAGGACATGTTTTCTTTTTTATCCTCATATGTCTGTTTTGTCTCATGGGTAAAGATTCTTTTTTTTATTCTTATCTGTTTATTTTATCTTATGGGTACAGTTTTTTTTTGTTTTTTTACATATGTGTCTTATTTTATCTCATGAGTACTGATTTTTCCTTTTTTTTGTCATGTGTCTATTTTATCTCACGGAGGCTAGTTTTTATTTCTTTCTCCAGAGCTAAAGAAAAGGCTGACGTGGACAAGATGCAGAACCCATCAGTGAAGGCTTTCTTCAAGGATCAGAAAGAATTCGAAGAGAAAATGTCCAAAGAACAGGTGAGCTACGGAGGAAAAGGCTTATTTTGCTATTCCTTTGCCTGTCTAGCATTGTGGTGCAATGAAGTGCAAGTGAAAATGTGACTTGATGTGGTGGAATCAGGCGCTCTTCAACTTTTGGGCATGTAGAGTTATTGGTATATGTCATCCTATGGCTTGTTCATTTGTCTTGAATTGGATGAAAAAAATATCGATTTATCTTGAGTAGAAGTACACATAATAATATTTGCAATTGATGGAGTTGGGGGGGGGGGGTTCAGATGTACAACCGACAGATGAACTGAGCAGGACGGCCCAATTTATGACAGATACCAGACTTCAAGTGTGATGCGATTGAGAAGAAGAAGAAGAAGAAGAAGAAGAAGAAGAAGAAGAAGAAGAAGAAGATGTACAATTAGCTGTAATACGGCCACCAAAGTTTGGTGACTTCCAAAACTTGAGGGTACTTGAAAAGTTTTAAAAAATACTTTTTTTTGTAATTTTAATTGTGACTTTCAGTAAAATCTGCACGAAAATGTGTTGCTAAATCAACGTTAAAGGTGTTAAGCCATTTTTTAAAAAGTTGATAAAAATTGCCAGATCGTCAGAAAAATGCCGGTTTCTTTAACACTTTTCACCCACGCAGCGAGCAGAGCATGCAGCGCTTATCCCCACGGACCAGAATACAAGTGCGGTGCGTGCTATATCGCACCGGCGCCAATCCGCGTCCCATGGGGAAAAGGGACGGCTTCTTACCGTCGCCGATTGGTTTCCGTATGGACATACAGTTCATTCAATTATTTTGACGATCGCCTGATTTCACCAAAGGTGCACAAATAATGAAATTGAAGATACCGATGCTATTTTTGCACTTTTTGGGATGTATATACCTATTTATTATCTACTTAAAATCACATTTATGTGGACTTTATATATGTAAAATGTTGATTACTTTTTTATCTCTGAGGGGGGTAAACCCACTGTATTGGGACCCTTTTTTGGTACTAAATCTAAAAATGATGGAAACGTCACTAAATTGCTATCAATTAATATAGTGTAAAGCGCATAGAGCTTGTTTTCAAATGGGGATATGCGCTATACAAAATGCTATTTATTATTATTATTATTATTATTATTATTATTATTATTATCTGTCGATTTATCCATCTCGCCTATTCCTTTCTCTCAATGAGACACCTACAATAAAAAATTCGAAAAAAAATTAATTTTGTTGATAGGAAGAATATCTGGAAGCTGTCAGCGAACAGGAAGTTGCGAAGAAACAGGTAGATGACATCCACGACCAGACAAAGGCGCTAGAAAAGGAAGTGCAGGAGATGTCGAAGGAGATGAACAAACTGCTGGCCCTTTACGATGAACAGGATCAGATTTTGGGTAAGTTGGAAAACTGGTTTTGTCAGATTTTGGGTAGTTTGGGAATTACTCAGTTTGCCTGATACACTCTGGTGTTTTGAAATTTGGGTAAGTTAGGGAACTTGTTTGTCAGAATTTTGGTAAGTTGGAAAACCGGTTTAGTCAGATTTTGTATGAGTTCAGGAACCGGTTTCGTCAGATTTTGGGTAAGTTGAGGAACTGGTTCGTCAGAATTTATGTAAGTTGGAAAAATGGTTTGGTTCAATTTTGGGTAAGATGGAAAACCAGTTTTGTCAGATTTTGGGTATGTTGGAAAACAGGGTTGTCATATAGGCCCTAAGAAGTGGGTAACTCAGTTTGCCAGATACAGTCTAGTTGTCAGAATTTGAGTTTGAGAAGTCGAGGAACTAAATTAATGCGATTTTGGATAAACTGGTGAATCAGTATGTCAGATTTTTGGTAAGTTGAAAAACTGGTTTGTCAGATTTTGGGTAAGTTGCGAAACAAAGATTGTCCTATGTTGCGAAACCATTAAAAAAAATTTTTTTTTTTTGGCTTCAATTAAGTCATTATTATTGTTTTTATTATTATTAGGCCTATTATTTTTTTAAAAATTATTAATATGTGAGGCAGCGTGGTGGAATCAGGCTCTCGTCAAAATAATGAAATCAAACAAAACAGCCGTTTTCTCCCTGCGTAGCAATTTTTTATTATTTTTTTTGTTTTTTGGCATAACACCTTTTATGTACATTTACAAACACAATCACAATCACAATCAGTAGAAGGACCCTCGGCAACATTTTGGAGAGACCAACGGAGCATCAATGGACATGTCCGGAGTGCAGGGATGTTGCTTCCTGAAACAAGAACAAGAACAAGAACAAACACATTCCTTTGAGGATTTCACTGAAAACGTTGATTAAAGGCACAAAAATATGAATTTACAGTTTCTATGGACTCTCCAGCTTTGGAATTTACCAAGCTTTTGCGGCCATTTTTAGCTAATTTTACCTCTTAAACCAGGTAACCCCCACCTCCTTCAATCCAAAATATCTCCACTTCTATCAAAGATGGGTGGGTAATTTTTTCATTGAACGCAAGACAAATGAACAAGCTTTAAGATGATACCAATAAGTCAATATGCCTAAAAATTGACGAGAGCCTGATTCCACCACGCTGCCTCACATATTATTTATATTATTTTTATAATTGTTATTATTACCATCTATATCATTATCATAATTATCACTAGCATTATTATTGTAATTAATATTTTTCTTCTTCTTCTTTTTCTTCTTCTTTTCCTTCTTCTTCTTCTTACTATATATACATTGTTTCCCTCCCCTGTTGTCCAGACGACATCTTCAGCGGCCACTACGGCTCGGAGCTGGAGAACCAGCTGGAGATGGAGGTTGACCAGTTGCTTGACCGCAAGGAGCGCATCGGGGTGGCTAAGTACAAGTGGATTAACGGGCGACTGCTCCTGTACCACGCCTGTAACCAGCTGGCCTTTGCCGTCCGCCGCTGGCAGATGCTGGGCCAGGTTCCCGGGAAGTGAGTGGACAGCTGGGACGTTTTAGACGCAAAAATTGATCGTTTTTTTTCTTTTTGTTAATAAATAGTTTCAATTTTTAAAGTAGTTTTTGTGGGTGGCTGGCGGGTGCTCTGGTGTGGTTTGCCTCTCCTTATATCTTTCAAAGTTCTGTCTTTTGTCCTTATCTCTACTTCTTCTTGTTTTGTTTGTTACTCTCTTGTAACACCTCTAATCTTCTGGGGCTCATATGACCTTATGCAGTTGTGAGAGTCGTAAAACCTCTACTAAAATTGAACTAAGCTAAAAGAATTTTTTTTGTTTTGTTTTTGGTTAGTTTATTTATTGTGAGGCGTGCTGACAAAATGAGTTACTTCTCGCAATCCACAAGTGGAGATATTGGCCAAAAATCGACGCTAGGGTCAAATTGGAGATTTTCTGTCAATGTCATTTTTAATAAAAATGCAATGCAAGTGAAGTACAATGAGCAAGTTAACCAATCGGTTAATGAAATATATTTTTTTCTAGCTGGGGGGAGGGGGACGGAAGGGGGGTTTGCTAGTCGGTTGCGCACAGCGAAAAGAGAGAGGTGGGGAAGGCTTGTTCCAGACCACGGAGCTGAGAGTGGCGAAGTTTCCCTACTCTCCTCTAACCTAATTTGTTTTGTAAGTGCTGTAAAAATATTACTAATACTATCACAATTCACCACCCATTTATGTTCTCAGCAATATTCCGGCCAAATACCAGCTAGCGACGGAAACGAGGAACAACCTGATAGCTGCCATGGCAAACATCACCAGTGCCAAACGCTATCTCAATAATATTAAAGTGAGTGGGGTTTTTTGTTTTGTTTTGTTGTTGTTTTGTTTTTGTGTGTGTGTGTGTGTGTGTGTTTGTGTATGTTTATGTATGTGTGTGTGTGTTTATGTGTGAGTATTTGTGTGTGTGTGTGTGTGTGTGTGTGTGTGTGTGTATTTGTGTTTGTGTGTATGTTTATGTATGGGTGTGTATGTGTTGTTTGTGTGTGTGTGTGTGTTCGTGTGTGTGTGTGTTTAGATGTGTATATGTTGTTTGTGTGTGTGTTTGTTATTAATCAATGTCAATACTTGACTATTTCATCAACCTATGTCACCCTGCACTGGAGTTTAAGCCACCAACCAGAGCTCTCCCTGTTTACGATAGTATGTTTTAGGCTTGAGTCTAAGTCCCTACTCTTAGAGCTTCCATTTTAACCCTTAGAACCCCGACCCCTTGAACCCACCTGGCCCTGCTCCTCTGGGTTTCCGAGCAAAAATTGAGAAAATATGAGTAGAGGTAATAAACACACGCTGTACTAGTAAAAACCGCGGTTAGTTTACAATATTTTTACTATGAGATAATCCTACCTTAAGAGAATCAGTCAATTCTCTTATGCGTCTAAATTGATCATGAGAACTATAAGGTTGAAGGCAGACCAGTCAGCCCTAATATCGGACTTTTGTATTATAGACATTTACGCTCCAGCCCTATATATCGGACTTTCAGGTTCAAAGGGTTGAAGTTTGATATGTGGTGTAATGCTCATTCAGTCAACCCTGTTCTATCTATCAGCTTTCTAAAACCATCACCTGTCTAAAACAATCAGCTGTCTAAAACAATCACCTGTCTAAAAACAATCACCTGTTTAAAACAATCACCTGTCTAAAACAATCACCTGTCTAAAAACAATCACCTGTCTAAAACAATCAGCTGTCTAAAACAATCACCTGTCTATAACAATCAGCTGTCTAAAACAATCAGCTGTCTAAAACAATCAGCTGTCTAAAACAATCAGCTGTCTAAGACAATCACCTGTACATATAACCACTTCAGTGGGGTTTTTTTTAAATTTTGGTTTATCTTGTACATTACATTGACACATTCCGATATAATAATTTTATAATATACAACTTTTTGTAATAAGAACCACTTTTCTCCTTTACAATGGGTAGCCATCCTGGACAATTACGATACTATCTGTTTTAATTTTTTTTTTTTCTTAAAGATATGTCCAATGTTGCCTTCCCCAGTTCCCGTACTGTGAGACGGAGGAGATGAACACGCTGGACAAGGCGTGTCGCAACATCTACATCGACATGCAGACACACGAGCGACACATGCATGCTATGCAATGCTACAGCATCACACACAGACGCTGCGCTGCCTTACTGCAGTGGTTCGACAATGTAAGCTAATAACTTCCCGCTCGTAAAATGACATGGTTTTTAGCTCCATGACGCCTATTTTTGAGTAAAAGGTTAAAAGGGGCGTTAAACCTATGCGGTAGAATATGGCTGTAGCGGGACTTTTGGTTCCGGAAGACAAATCCCGGTGCAAGCAAGTTCCCGCTATAGGAATGTGAAGGAGAATGACCGAAAAATTTATAATACTCCACATATATATGATTACCACCCTTCAGTATCGGTAAAATCCATAAAGAAATCTGTTTGAAATTGAGATAAAAGGTGTTGAGCAAAAAAAAAAAGGAAAAAAATTGATATTGATAAACATTGGCAAACTGGCTGTAACCGGCGGTTTCTTCCATTTCAGTATTTTAATGAGCCCCTGATTTCATCACAATGCCTCACAATTATTGTTTTAATCCTTACTTGTTAGTAAATGTGTTGGGGGGGGGGGGGGGGGCAGGCAGGACGCTTACTGGATACCTTAGGATACTTACTAATTTTTGTACAAACTCCACGTATGAAGTTGTTGGATCAATTTCCATAGGGCTGAATTCCAAGAAGTAACCCATTAAGTCAGCATGCTTCACATAATATATCAATTCTTGTATCAGGTAATTCACAACACCATTGAGAAAGATCTGGCCAGGGCAAAGGCAGAACTGAGCCCTAAGGAGAGTGCCCTGAGACAGGAGAGACTGAGGCTGATGAAGGAGAAGATAGGCGGAGACACCAGCAACTTGAAGATCTCCGATAAAGGTAGTTTTTTTTTGTGTGTGTGTGTGTGTGTGTGTGTGTGTGTGTGTGTGCGTTCATGCGTGCACGCGTTTGTGCGTGGGTGTATGCATGTGTGCACGAACGCGTGTATGTGTGCGTGCGTTCATGCGTGCACGCGTTTGTGCGTGGGTGTATGCATGTGTGCATGCATGCGTGTATGTGTGCGTGCGTTCATGCGTGCGTGCATGCATACGTGGGCCTGTCTCACTTCAGTGCTCTGTGCTGTGGCTACTGTAAGTTACAATGATAATACCAATTATAATAATTAGAATAATAACAATAGTTGTCATCTAGTGCCAGATCTGCAACAGACATCGACGATCATGGTTGTTCATTTTATCCTCTGCAACATTATCCTGATCTTTCCCCGTCACCAATTAGTTTAGGCTCTTCAAGTAGGTTGTTCTGGGTCTACCTCTGCCTCGTTTGCCTTCCACTTTACCAGTGAGAGCTGGAAGTTCAAGACTTTACTTATGTCTGCTCAAGTATACCGGAAACTGCATTCGTCTTTTCCTGACTCTTTTTATCTGAACACAGCCTACTTGTGCTGCTTTAAGTAATTATGACAATGATTACAATAGTAGTAATAATATTGATAATAATAGTAATCAAGATAATAATATGGACAAGAATAACGATAATGATAATAATAACATTAATGGTAATAATGCAACAAATACTATCAATAATGAGTATTATGATAATAATGATAATAATAATAATAATGTATTACGATGAGAAGAAGAAGAAGAAGAAGAAGAAGAGGAAGAAGAAGAAGAAGAACAAGAAGATCTTAGGGCTAATTTAAATCTCTTACATTTTTAACGACAGAAAAGCTATGGAAACTCCTGCTTAAGAATAGCATTTTTCGTTGGCACCACTTAATTATTGGTCTTACTTTTTTCTTTTTTATTCTCTTCTATCTTTTCAATCTATTTTTCCGGTGGGTGGTTGGAGGGCGCCACAGGCATGTCCTACTACTTTACTTTCCCTCTGTTGTTTCAGTCTGTCTGTCTTACTTTTTCCCAGCACTATATGACTAGTATTGTGTCTATGAGATTCTCTTTTACTCAAACAAACAAACAATCTGTCTATTATAATCTTATTTTTACAAACGTCGACTGTCATGTCGATACCATATTTTGTGGGGTTTTTTTTAAACTTAACCATTTGTAGTCACTTGGCGCAATAATGCGACGGTGAAAATTATCCGTTTCGGTCACCTGACACACTTCTGCGCTAGGCCTGAGAAGTCCATATTGCAGTCACTTTCCTGGCTATGTGAGCAGGTGGGGTATTTTGTACGGCTGGCTGTGTGAGCAGGTGGGGTATTTTGTATGGCTGGCTGTGTGAGCAGATGGGGGTATTTTGTACGGCTGGCTGTGTGAGCAGATGGGGTATTTTGTATGGCTGGCTGTGTGAGCAGATGGGGTATTTTGTATGGCTGGCTGTGTGAGCAGATGGGGTATTTTGTACGGCTGGCTGTGTGAGCAGATGGGGTATTTTGTACGGCTGGCTGTGTGAGCAGATGGGGTATTTTGTATGGCTGGCTGTGTGAGCAGATGGGGTATTTTGT